AGTACTACTGGACCGCAGCCGTCATCAGGATTGACTGCTTCCACAGCACTACTGTAGTTTTCTGTATTATTTGGTCCCTTAAGATAGCCAGATTTCCCTTTCTCCAGCTCTCTCTCCCCCGTAGTTCCGCCACCAATTCTCGGCGTTTCAGACGGTTTGCTGGAGAGTAGTCCGGCTGAAAAAACACCGTCTTATATGAGTGGCGGAGAGTTGTCTTCCGGTATAACGAAGGGTAAACTATGACGTAACCTGAATACTAAAGGGAAGCCGGATATAAATTGAGAGGTGTAGGATAGCGTGGAAACAGAGGAAATGCGTACAAAGCGTGAAGAAAAGTATAGTGATCAAACTGTAACGTAAGGCTAGAATTCAGCACAGGATTAACAAAAATATGTTAGTGCGGTACAAAAACGATATGTCAGTTCCATAAATTTGAAAGGAATTGGAATGTGACTTATTGTCGACCCTAAGGCAGAGGCGAGTGGTATCCCCGAGCCGTTCTAGAAAAACAATTAGTGCGCCGTTAGCCCACTGACACACACATGGTTCAGTCTGGGTCGCTACACCTGTCACCACACTGCCAGCATGCTGATGGTGGCTTTCTGAATGTGGGGTCTTGAGACTTCTGTGGAGACATCAACTTCGTGTGGGTGACAGCCTGAACATTGTTGGCGGCAAACGAAGAACTGGGTTGCTCCACGGTGGCAGAATCACGCTGAAGATTCTTAAGCCGTTGACACTCGGCAGTCAACTTCTGCAAAGTTGACTTGGGGAACTGTTCAGTTTCGGAGAGCAGACGAGTCCTGATGTCAACCTCGTGAGGTGACTGTAAAGCGCACACAAAAATAAAGCACTTGAATTGGTCTTCAGTCACCTCTCCCAGCTTGAACCTTTCACACTGGCGGTTGACGATACTGGCGATTGTCTGATAATCGTCTGCCTCTTTCTCGACCGGCTTGAGACACTGGTATCGAATGCTGAACAAGAAGGACTTCTTGCTGAAGATCTTTGACAGGCGGTTGACAGTTTCGTCGCAAGTGCAGTCACGAGGGTTTTTCGGCAGAATGATATCCGTGTACCGTTCGTACTCTTTGGTGCTCAGTTTGTGTTGTAGCTGGCGCACATTCCAAGCATCATTCGATTTGGCAGATTCCATGCAGAAGATTTCTTATCAACGTTTAAACCACGCCTCAAATATCACGCCAAAGTCGGAATCATGATAAAGCACGGTAATGGAGGCAGCAACTGCGTCTGCCCTCATGGACTGTTATCCAGAGGATCATGGAGAAGGGAAATGCAGGCTGAACCCATGCATCACTGAGTACACAATTTTCAGTTGAGCTGCCTCAAACTCAGCTTGCTGTTGCCGCATGATAGTTAGCAAATGTTCCGCGGGATATGCATAGTGAGTACTGCGTCGCCAATCGTTTTAATGACTTCCCAAGCTAGATTTGTGCCGCCCCCAGTCTCTTTGTGCTACTATAGGAGTTAAGGCTAAGACGATTAACCCTAACAGCTACAATCTTCGAGGCGCGGTTCCTTAGGAGCTGGGAGAAGTCTTGGGAAGGCCAGATTGTTAGGAATAGTTTATTCTACAGAAGGACAGAG